AATTTCTGTTTGGACTATAGCAATTGCACAGTTTTGAAATCAAACTTTTTAAGTGTTCATTATATTTCAGTGGATATGTGCTTGCCAAAGATGTGACCTGGTTCCTCCGTAAATACAGCTATTTTCCCAGCTATAATATTCCATTCTTCCTCGAAATAAGCAGGATGAGTGGCTGGGATGAGAAATCAAAAACGAACGATTGGTTCAAATGGGGCAGTTGTCCTCGTGCAAAAATATTCGATCGCGACCATGTGAAGGTTGTGGATATTGAACAATTGCAAAAACTTATGAGGTAATCACTTCAAATATTCAGTTCATTGGTTTTGCAAATTTGGATCGGAGAAATCAGTTTGGTTTGTGGAAACTTCAGTGTCGGCTGGAGAAGTGCATATCTAGATGACCGCCTGTTTACGTTAGAAATTATAGCGTTAATGTACAGTAGTCCTGGATTTCCATGAGAAGTTCCAACTAAGCGCAAGTTTGGTCAAATATCTGCGGTGTTTTATCACAATGATGTTTGTTTAGTTCTATGAGGTAATTTGTTTTCGTTCACTTCTAATTCTAGGATCCAGTTTTCCAAATTAACCACGGTCCGAGATTTATGAATGAATTAAACAAATAGACCCACATATATTCATATCATCTATTCGTACATGGTATTATCTTCAGATATAATGACTATCAACATGAGCCGTTCAGTCGTTGCAAGTGTGTTCCACCGTATACGGCCGAAGCGAGTATTTCAACACGTGGCGATTTGAATCCAGCGAATGGCACTTATGAATTAGAGGGTATGGGTCATAAAAATCATGGAGGATTAGACTTCAAGGTTATCATTTGTTGTCCTTCAGTGGGAGTCCTAGATGATGGTCGTAACTTTAAGCGATGAACTGAGCATCTATTTTTGTGACAGAAGCAAAAAATATATGCTTAATCCTAATATAAATTTAAACAGTTCTTGAAAATTATTTATTGAATTGCGCTTTTGGCAGCAATGTTTGAAGCGTTCAAATGATTATAAAATGAGTAGTGATCTTGCTATGATCAGGTACATTCAAACACACTGGTCAGATTCTTTCTATCTTTAAGAAGCACTGAATTTAGCAAAAAGGAACCACGATATATGTCATGTTAACGATGAAATCGCATTATGTATGCTAATGGCATAATTTACAAACACTATTTCAGGGCACCAACTATACTATGTTCAAGAAGCTCCGATTTAGAGCTTGGGGTGGCCCGACCTTCGATCCACTTCCAGTTTTCAGGTAATGAATTGGTTTTTTAAACCGCATATGAAGTATTTATGTTATGGATTATAGATTCCACACTTTCGAGTTGATGAATAATGAATCCCACGGCATTCCACAAGCAGTTGAATGTTGATTGATTACGATATTATGCTTGGTTAGTGTGATCCATTGCAATGAAGAAAAGAAATGTGCAAATAAAACACTGGTTATAAGTGTTAAACTATCGCATAGTATCGAATTGTTTATTTTACAGTTGGGATACAACCGATATTGTGGCAAACCATTATGGACAACCGATAGTATGGAGATTCGATCCTGTTGAAACTGACTGGGAAACAAACGTGACAGTGCATCTTTAATGTGAATGAATCAATAACACATCAATCGTTTATCAGAATATTCCAAATGCTATCATTATTATCAATAGTTTCATTGTATAGATTGGAGTTATTAATGTCATTATCGCACTATGATGACAGATAGAAGGTAATCAGTTAGTCAAAATGAACAAAACTTATCAATTAAAATTTTTAATAAATAGCACGAGTAGTTTTGTAGAAAATAACAATCACTGTATGGAAATGAAATATCGGACACTGGGCAAAACTTTATCACAATCGACTAGATTCTTTTGAGATTACAACACATCTTCAACGGTTTTCCACGAAACAATTAAACATATTTCTCGACTTCGATATCGATAATAACTGCCTCAGTATCGGTATTACTTTCGGAGAGTGAACATCGAGCAGACCCTGGAAAAAATGTTTCCTTTTGAATGCTTATGATGGATTTATTGCTTATTGTTGTGAATTGTTATGAATTGTTATTATTCAACATTTTGATTCATATTGTTTCGATAATTAGTCGTAAATACAAAAGTTTTCCTAAATTTTAAAAAGTAATTCCCATTAGAAGTTAATGAAATGATCAAAAAAGCACGATTTGTCAATATTGTGTGAGTGGCGTGGAAAGAGCAAAAATCGCGATTGATTTGCGTAAAATCTTATCGTTTGATATGATTTTGTTGATAGAAAAAGTTAAACTTATGTCTAAGAAATCATTGCCAACAAGTAATTTTTAAAAAAGTCTATAGGGAATATCAGAATTTTAAAAAAATTGCATGATCGACTGCACCTTCGCCTTCAGACCAGCATTTTCTTGCGACTGAACATTTCCTTCTCCGTCGCCTTCTCTTGACTTCCCTTTCTTTCAATGCGAACGACTTCATCAACTCGTTGAGATGCGCATCTTCGAAATGCATCGAGTCTGTATCGTCTAATCCGCACAGGTGATCTGAATATAAGGCAGTTTGATCACTGGATAATTCACTGAAGCGAACAGTAAAAGAGACTTCAAGGAGTTTTTTTAGGTGCATTGGTACTGTTAGATACTTCCTCACGCATTCATACAGATTTTGTGGATGTTATTGTAAAAAAATTTACATATTTCTTCGCTTAAATTTCCCAAATTATTCGGTCTTCCACAACAATAAGACTAATTTTTCTCACAAAATGAAGTTTTTTTCAAGTTCAAGTCATAACATCAAATTATCCAGATGATTGTGGCAATATATCTTATAATTTCGAAACTCACCATCAAAAACACGCTTGCAAAGTGCGATCAACCCCTTAATCTCGCCGTTGCAATCGCTTGTTCGTTCATTTGATTGCACGGTCGTAAGAAAACAAGAAGTGGAACCCTCATTAGAAGTCAACTGTTCCAATTCATTTTCCAATTCATTCATAAACGCATAAATTTGTTGAGTATTGTTTGACTGCATTAGATCTATGATACGTGAGTATCGTTGAGATGGTAATCCTGAAAGCTTTCGTAGTGATGACTTCGAAAGTATGTCTGTTGTGGCTAATAATTACATTCCGAGACGAATATCAAGTTCATTCAGACGTTTACGTGACGAGAAAGTTATTAGGTCTATGAGGTGATCAATTTGAGAAGCAATTCAAAATACTACGCAAACGCAAAACATTTTTGAAGTGGCCATTTCATTTGCTTTAGGAATTGAGTTCGATTGCGGTGGACAAAATGTGGACAAAATGAAATGAGAACATGAAACTATTGTAAGAGAAGCGTACGTTTCAATTCTTCGACAAATTCAACATATTGAGGATATTCAACATTTATCAAATCATTGCCATCCAAATTTTCAGTTGATATTACGGCTTTTCTCCATGACTGGAGAGCATTTGAATGGCAAATGGCATTACGATTACCGTACAATCGTAGTGGAGTACCTTTTAGGTCTTCCAAGCAATTTTCCAAGGATTCACCGTTTATAAGCTGAAAATGTTTTATTTTATTGAAAAAATAATCTATTAAGAATCGAGATGTTTCAGTAAGAGAGTTTTACAACTGCAAAAGGTTATGACTAGCGAATTCTGATAATATACCCACTTTTTGCAAAACAATTTTAAGGTCTTCGTTGAATTCACTGTTGATGTTTACAACACATTCAGCACCTGCTATCAACAGAGCTTTCGTTACTTTTTCACATGGATCATTGAGAACAAAAGCTATATTGATGCTCAATTGATATTGCAGAATTGAGAATGAGTCCATTTTGAGTCGTGAACAGTCAAGAAGAGCTAGTGAGCATACCTATAAAGTAGGATAAATTAGGGAGGTTTTTACAAGATGCAATTTTATGATTGTCAATATGAGCTGATGAAACGAATGCAATAATGCAGTACACATAAATTTGTTTTAAATTTGATTTAAGTTAAATTAATGAATAATCCACGCAAAATCAGAGTTTATTCACGAAAACTGCTTTTATTCATACGGCATTAGAGACGAATCTGAAGCGGTAGGAACCGAATAAGAGTCAGTGTACCTGCAGCTTCCAGATGAGATCATCTTCATTCATGCAGTGAACATGATCGATTTGAAGAGAATTTCGATCGTCAGTGGCAATCAGAAGGCAAATTTTCTGATCAGTTCTTGTTGTAGAGCATTTTGAAACACTGTGCAAAGCGATTCTATTCTCATATTGCACACCACCAAACGAATCGACATTTATGAGGACGTTCGCTTCTGATTTGAGTTTCTCGAATTCACTCAATTCGTAACACTTTAATTTACTGCTCAATAGAAATTGTTCCAAAAAATGCGCATAAAATTTCGAAAGATGATTCGTTGGACTGGCTTCGGTGATGAAAAAAACTCGTAGCTGGTCACCTGAAAGAAAAACTATTAACTACAAACTTCCAGATATAAATCGATCAAGTTCGTATTGTTCAATACGTTTCCGCAAGAAATTATGTGAGATTTGTCAGTTCCAAATTATTAATGTCTGGATGAGTGAATGGTTAACAAAGTCTGAATATTCTCACAATCAGTGGCTTATTTCATGAAAATCTCGAGTTGTTAAATGTTTGAAATAGCTAACAAAAACAACCAAAATTATGATACTGAAATGATGATAGCGATAAGAATCTTATCAATGATCTCATATCATTCACCTTGTTGTTTGTACCAGCATAATACGAATCGCTCAACTCGAAAGCAATAAAGAGATGTTTGCTGAATTCTGCGCAAACACTGTCTTGTTGATTCTGCGCTGACATTTGTTTGAGTACCCATTAATGGATTTGAGCGTTTCAACTGATCGCATACAAAACGTTCAGCTATTGCTAACGCTTCAACAACAGAATCTTCATTGTTCGGATTGATTATGCACACTATCAAAATCAGATTCACAAGTTTTAACAGTTCATTTGCATTGTTGTGCATTGCAAGTATGCTGATCTCATTGGTATCAATGTTTGCTTCATTATCAATGTTAGGGCCATTTGTAGCACCGTTATAACTGGTATCAATTTGCTGTTGTTCGCTATCATCGATGTATTGAAATCTGCGTAAATACTCGTCGAGAAGAGTGACACATTCCTGTAAAGTAAACGTTTCCGATGAGATAGTTTGCAATTTTTGAAAAATTTTTGCTTAGGGTCAGCTCGCAGTTTATTTGTTATCGATTCGGAGGTAATTGCTGCTGTTGATACCGAATTCGAGAAACGAGTAATGTCGAAGAATTTCTTAAACTTAAGCTTTTCGTTTTTCAAGAATCGAGTGGAAAGTAAATTCATAAATTCCAGAAGTTCTCAGTATAAAACAACCTGAATTTCGTTTCGATTCCAAAGAACGATCGCTTCATCGATAATTGATGCAATATTACGGTCGCTTCTGTTTTTGTACATTTCATCAATAATATTTTTTGCACGATCAAAATCGCCATGCATCATTTTGGCGTGTAACAATGGTACACCAACAAATTTTCCACATTCCAGCACCTCATATAAACATGTTTCATC